ATTTATGGGGGAGGAGGTTTTGAATGTTGGAGGTGCTCTGACCCGTTGGCGGATCTTGTTCACATATTGTGGGCCTGCCCACGGTTTAGACCGGTTTGGGAGGCAGTTTCAAATATTGTGTCCGAATATTCTGAGGACCATTTCGTACCTAGTGTTCGCACGTGTATTCTGGGACTGACTTAGCCCCTTGCCCCTACCGTTGCAATACAGACGTTTATAGGTATCCTGCTATTTTGTGCTAGGAAGGTGATAATATTGCGATGGAGACAGAGCGCACCCCCGAGCATCTCTGACTGGAAGGGCCTAGTCAACGCATACTCAAGCCTCTATAAGGCAACATATCAGAGGAGGGGATGCCCCCAGAAATTTTCCAGAGTTTGGGGAGGATGGCTGGAATCTGCGGATACAGCAGGCTGAGAGACTTGTATTTCATGTATTTTCTATACTTGGTTTAGAATACCCCTACAGTGAACAAGCAATGGGGATCTGAAGTGATATAATAATTGTACACACAACCGCTGTATATCCAACCTAATGGACTTTATATTCTTGTTTGAGATACTGACACCTCGTATGGGACGGCGGGTGCTGGGGACACACACAATTGTTTAGGGTGGGGGGGAGGGAGCATTGGACGTGAGATGTTCCTATGCTGGGGTGGGTTTGTTATATATGTTTTAATGTTTGTATATGGTGTACTGAACTGTGTGCCTTCACGGACGTAAAAGTACTTACCATGTTTTGTACTAAAACTTTAATAAAAATAATTTACACAAAAAAAAAATGCCACTAAGCATTATGGGAAAACAGCATTGATTGGTAATTTGAATTTTTTTTGTTTTGCCAGCACTCCTAAAAAGATTTATCAATGTGTTGCCATATGTCCATTGTGGTGCACTGAAATACATGTGTGTTGAGCTGGATTTGCAAGGTGCATTGGGGGTTCTATTTAAAATGGGATTGCACTGCCATTCATGCCTTACCAAGTGTTGCTGTAATGTATGATATAATGTGTATTTTACTGCATTTTATCACAATGCATTGGTTCCAGCCTTATTGAAATCTCTGCAGGCACCAGTGGTGCATAAAGGGTGAACATAAACATGTAATATTGTTCTCTCATGCAAACCCTGGGGAAAAAGTGGTTCTCAAATTGTAGAGGGCGCTTCAAAGTGTGGCATGCATACTAAGTGTAAGGAGTGCCAAAATTAGGCAAAGAGTTAAATATCTAAAGAAGATTTATGTATTGGTAATTTTCACAGAGAAACCAACACAATTCAATGGTATGATGTGCATCTGTTCATCAAGGCTATAAACAATATAAAACCTTTAAAATGGCAATGCATAAAAACAAAACAATGTAAGCTAAAATGGAAGGAGAGTGATATCAGTAATACTATTATTAGTTGCTACATAATTTTCAATTTCAGTTTCTTTGTAATGTGAAAGCATATTAGTAATATAAGTAGACTACGTACACCGATCAGCCATAACATTATGACTACCCACCTAATATTGAGTAGGTCCCCCTTTTGCTGCCAAATCAGCCATGATCCATCGAAACACAAACTCCACTAGACCTCTGAAGTTATGCAGCGGTATCTGGCACCAAGTCATCAATAGCAGATCCTTTAAAGGGTTATTACACCCACCGTTGTTTTTGCATATATCTACTGCTAGCAAGCAGTAGATATATGGAAAAACTTTAAAAAAAACACTTTAAAAGAGGTTTGAACTTACCTGTGTCTTCGCCACTTGCTCCCGTCCAAAAATCTGAAAAATCTCGGGCGGCCACAAAGGATCTTGGGGTGGGCGAATGCGCAGTTCAGATTTTCGGCCGGGAGATGAGGAGAGACACAAGGTAAGTCTATGGACAGCGTGCACCCGTATGAAGACACCAGGGACCTGCAGTCAGGGGAAGCAGGTGAGGCAGAGCCTCACCTAGAATTATGGAGGAAAAAGCTGTCAGGTTCATGTCTGAAGCTGACACCTTTTTCTCCATTCAGATCGGTCTAACAGGTTACACAGCAGGGAAATCCTCCCCGCTGTGTAACCTGTCACGGAGCCTCAGCGGAGCAAGTTCTTCTTGTGTTGCTCAGGTCCCGTGCCGCCATCTTGAAACAAGACCAGTCACATGTGCACATACTCCATTGTTCTTTGCCGGGTCAATAGAACCTGGCAGGGACTCACTGTGTGGTGTATAAGTGAATGTGCAGATTCTGCAGGTCTCTACCAGAGAGATGACAAACTGCCTTTTGGCATGTGTAACATAGACAACCCAGCTAGGTATGTTATCATCCCCTAGACAAGGTAGTGCCTTTATAAAAAAAAAAAAATACAAAAGGTACTTACTGGTAAAGGAAAACATTTTTGTTGCCTGTTTTAAAGAAGGAAGGGGTAGAAGATAGGTGAGAGCATTTTTTTATGGATGAAACTCCTCTTTATTTATACTCCTACTACTAAAGGAGGCAAAGCTACAGTCTCTAATATGTGTTGCCTTTTTAAACACTCTGTATTTGGCATAAACTTGTATCTTGACTTGAATATCACAAGCTTCAATTCTAGATTCACTCATCCCTACCACAACCCAAGGTGATTGTGGAAATCCTTTGGTGTGCGGAAGCTGCTAACCCAATGTTCAAATTCTCTATATCTGCACCACCTCCATACTATTGGATGATAACAATAATATAAAATAAATACCCAATACAAAACTCAGGGTTCCAGTGCATTTAATCCCTACAACTACAGCCCCTGAAACCTGTTGGCTTTATAAACAATCTGTCTTTGGAATAAACTTGTACCGGGGCTTCAGTATCACAGTGTGGTCCTTCAATTCTAGATTCACTGAGCAAGGAAAACCTTGCTCAGAGGTCCTAAATTTCCTTATTCTGCCTAAAGCTAAGAAAAAATGTTTGACTGTACTTTTACTTTAAACTGGTGTATATAGATTGTTATATAGTGTAAGCAGGTAGCTGTACAAATGGTATTGCATAAATGTTTTAAAAAGAGCATCCCAATCTTTCTCCATTGGTGAATTGTTAAATACAAATCTAATCTTTTTCTTTCATCTATATTTCCATGTAATCATCTCTGCTGGAAGTGGAGAGGAAATTCTGCAGCTCATTGTCAAAGCAAACCTTAAAACGGATGAGCTTTTTTTTCCCAGTTTGTCATATGTTAGCTTGATATTGGCACAATCCGTTGGAAACTGTTATAACACCGTTAGCTAAACAAGCTTGCTTGGTGAAAAATGATGCAGTTAAACTCCAATTATCACACCTCAGCAAAATATAAAATCCATCCCAGTGTCATTGATATAACATTTTAGCTGAAGAGACAGTATAGGGAAATGTCATAGCAAATTGTTTCAAACAAAAGTGTGCTGCTTCCGCTTCAATCTAGAGTTGAGAAACGAGAACTGCTCATTTTATCAAGTTTTTGCTGCCAACCACAACTATTTATCTTTACTGTATGTTGAGCTAATTTTAGAGGGAATGTTCTTGTGACAAAGGTGTGAGTGTAGTTAATGGTAATAGATACACAGCTACATGACTAGGCTAGTGAAATTAGAACTCCATACAAAACATGTTTTAGTTTGCAGAAAACATGGCAGGTTTAGACATTTTGTCAGTTTTTGTTTTGCTCTTTGGTCACTGAAGATTTCCCTTCACTTGCTGCCTCAATAACTACTGAATAAAGGAAACAAAGACAATCTTCCCAGTGGGGACACACAGTTTATACCTTCATACTATACAACAAAGGGGATTATTCACTAAAGGGCCGAAAGATCCAGCTGGAGCTTCGGCTGAGCCTTCGGCTCTCTTCGGCCGCCGGAGCCCTTCTTCAAGATGGACCGAGAGCCCGTCAGTGTCAGGAGAGAGGAGGGGACCCCGCGCATACCTTATCCGGCCGGGTGAACGTCCCCTCCTCTCTCTGCCGGCAGCCATCACCATGATGGCCACAGGCGCGTGCCAATTAGATGACCACTTGTGCGCGATAACGTTATCCCGCACGAGCGTGGGGACATCACATGCGATGACTGCGGGGTGACATCCGACTTCGGGACGCCCCTGAGTGTTGTCACTTATCAACTGTCTTTTTATTAGTTGTATGAGATCTCCGAGCTGCAGGACTACAAGCCTACTCTGGCCATTATGAGGGGGCCCCACACTCTATGTTAGTTGTTTATTTATTTTTTATTATGCCATAGATGCTGGAACATGTAAAGGGGTCAGTATTCATAGCAGGGAGATTGTGCTGTTGATATATCTAAGACATATAAGAAGCCAGAGGTTGACTTAGCTGAGCAGGCTCCACCTGTAACTTAAATATGAATTTTGGGTTTATTGTCCTTTTAGTTATGCAGGATTAGGAGATTCAAATAACTATGGCCAACTAAAGTAGGGTATACACAGGTTTTTCTAACCATATATACCCTACTTAAGACTGCTTGAAACACCTTTTTCCTCAGACACTGATAAATATGCTCAAAGCAGGCAACTTTTGTGCAAGTTCATTTAGCAACATAAAAGAAGTCCCTACATTAACATATGGGATTGAAGCTTTTCAAAGGTGTCCTAAACCACGGGCCATTAGGAAAATGTGTATCTTAATATACAGTTACACTAAGCCTTAGGCACCCCGTAAAAAGCCTATGTGTTCAATGCAAACACACAATACAAATATTTGGGTTTAAACATTTCTAGGGAATAACAGATTCTGTGTGTGTGGCAGCACAACTGTTCACTTTCAGCAAATTTAGATCAGCAATTAGTGCTGTTTGACCAATAGGAACATGATTTCTGTTTGGTTGCTACAGTTATTACACTATGCTCTTTGAGTTTGTGGTGTGGTACGGAATGTTATGGTATGAAAACGGTATTATGTAACAGTTTTTGTAAAGTTACTGATATACAGTATTTTCATATATATAAATATTTGAATATGTAAATTGCACTGAATGATGCTGACCATTTGACTGTTTTTCTCTTTTACAGAGGAATCCTCCGTTAGTAATAAATGATCTTTTTATAGACATAAAAGATGGAACTAAGTTACTTGCATTATTGGAAGTCTTGTCTGGACAAAAACTGGTAGGTAACAGAGAAAGAGTGTAATCCAATCAAGCATCTGCAACCGATTTTCTGGTGTTATAGCCGTATTAGAAAATGCTGCACCAAATGCATTACTTTTCTTACTGTTGTCAATGAATGCAACAAATTGAGGTAGTTCTTAGATGCAAAATTTTTACATTCTGGCTCTGTGGCTGTGACATATTCATACCACCATATTGGTCATAAGAAAAGTGGAGGTAATGCAGACCTCTTCCATTGCAGAGTAAATTGTGTCAAACGTGTAAGTCTTGTGTCGCTGACAAAATTCTGTCTGACGATAAATTATTTTTGAGGAAATTCTGCAACAGTTTCATAAACATCTTTTCAACAGTTACACGAATCTGTCACAAGTTACGCAATTCATAGCACAGACAGAAGACAGATTGCTAATGAGTGTCTATGAATATGAATTCCAGGGTATGTTTTAAAAAGACTAACTTGATTTGGTTTAATTTGATTAGAAAGTATATCACAATGATATCATCCCTATAATATTAAGGCATTTAATTGATGGGTTTAAATTTAGTTTACGTGGTTTAACATGCTTGTATTACTTTAATAGAGTCAGGCACAATAAGTGAGTTTGCAGATGCAACATTTTTCCTTTCTCATGCTGTCCCTTGAGAGTTTCTTTTCTCCATTGCCTATGTAGTTCAGAATGCTTTCTGTTGGCTGAAATGCATTTGCAAGGCATATGCATTTTCCATAGGCTTGTTTTTAGCTTTGGATTATAATGCTGAACATGAAGCATGCACAGCTAAAGGAATGCCAGGGATGCCTACTTTTGTTTAACTGCACAAAACATTTCCTCTATGCCCGTGGATGTTTTATTTCCTTTAATACATCTAGACATTGCATTGAAGATGTTCTGGAAATAGAGAGGAGTTTGGCTGTTGGCATAAAATCAACTTGATATGAAAAATAAGATATAATTTAATCACAAATGAGTTTTTATTGTTTAAACTTATACCTGTCATTATTTTGTACTGCCTGAACTGATGCTATAAATGAAATGCGGGCACATAGATGTGACCTCAATGCAGTGGCGTAACAACCGGGGGTGCAGCAGGGGCGCGGGCCCCGGGCGAAAAGTGAAGGGGGGGTGCTGGCCGAAAATGCCACTTTCGGCTAAATGCCGAAAGTGACATTTTCCTGACGTTTTGCCGGCGCGGCCGTGATTCCTTTCATCCCCGCTGGGACACAGAGCCAGTGGCGTAACCAGAGTTCTGGGCGCCCGGGGCCGAGCGCTGCGGGACGAGCGCTGTGAGGGCCGGTGTCTTTCCTCCCACACCGCTCGGCCGCCTATCACAGTGCAGCAGAAATGTGGTCATTTACAGTTCAATCCAGGAATGTTTGTATGTCTGTAGGCATCTCTACAAATCTGGTCAAACCTGTTTAAGAGACAGTCAGTCAGCTGAGATGGATTATCCTAGCCTATTGATATTATTTTGCTTGTGACAGTTCAGTGCCTGCAGTGCTTCTTCCTCTACAGGCACAAACATGCAAATTCAACCACTGCACACTTGCATTAGAAAGATTGTTAGCTACCATGATCATTTGGCAAACTAGTTATGCCTGCGTAGCTAGCTGCCATCTCTTGACAGTTAAAACAGAACTGAAGCCAAAACTTTTTTTTCAGTTTGTTGTTAGACTAAAGGAGGCTTACAACCCCTGTCAGCTTTTTTTGCCACCTGTGTCCCATTGAGGAGATTTCCCTTCACTTCTTGTCCCGTAGCCTCAACAGGAAGTTATAGGAAATCCCTCCAAAGTGAGCTAAATCCCTGTTGGTCAGCAGGATCACCAGAACTAGTGACCCCAATACAAAATTTCCCATCAACTCCTGTTCTGATGATAGCGCAAAATTTAGCATGTTCTTTGACTTCCAGTGATAATGGTCACCAGGACAAATAAAGTGGGTGATGCAGAAAGCAATACAAACCGGACAGGTATTCTAATCTGTCTCCAAATTAGATTCTATCCAAAATAATAAAAAAAAGTTTTGACTTCAGTTGAACTTTAAACATGCTTTGGTTAGAAAAACACTTTAGGGCTAGCTATCCAGAATGAGGGTAGACATCAGCAGATATCCAATACCAGACAAAACACGAAAGCATTATTATCCTCAAGGGTAGGGACAGCATCCCCAACAGGCCAAATATAACTATTATTATTATTATTACATAGTATTTATATAGCTCCAACAGTTTGCGCAGCGCATTACAATATAAAAAGACATTACAATCACAATACAATTCAAGACAAGATGGTAAGGAGGGCCCTGCCCCTGGGAGCTTACAATCTAAAAGGGAAGGGGGAAGTGATACATGAGGAGGTAGCTGTGTGGGGATGAATTGTTTCAACTAGATTCAAGAAAATAAAAATGTATGCATCCGTAAACCATTTTATTATGTTTCATAAAGTACAAATTATATAATGCCAGACTAATGCATTTATTAAACATTTGTTGCAGCCATGTGAACAAGGAAGGCAATTGAAGCGCATTCACTGGGTAGCCAACATTGGCGCAGCACTAAAGTTTCTGGAAGGCAGACGGGTAAGTTTATACTACACTGCATGTTATTCTTGACTGGTTATATGATTAATGCTTAATTCTGCATACTGTATGACCTTCCTTGACTTCTTTTAGGATAAGCGGAAAATAGCTCACTTCTTTCCATTTTCACATATTGCTTATGCTTATGTATAAAAAATTGTTCTAACATAAGCATTAGTTGTTGTCCACAGATATCAATCAGTTTCTACAATCCATAGGTTAAACATTTTTTTAGATTTCTGATTGGTGGCTGTGGGGAACAAGACATTTTCTTTCTAGCAAACTTTTCTCACATTAGCCCCACTGTGTTCAATCTGTGTTCCTTTATCACAAAAACATGCAACACCATGGGGCTGTATTGTAGCTACAGAACACAGTGCATTTACAGTATGCATTATATACTTTGTTCAAGATATGTTCAAAGACCTGAATGCATCTTTTTAAGTACTGTGCAAGAGCAGCATTTCATTCAGACACATTAATTTAAACAGATGGAATATTGACATGTCGTCCCAAGCATGGAGATTTATTCTGGTGAAAAATCCAATCTAGCCACAGTGATTGAATCTATTGAAAGATTGATGAGTCCCTCGTAACACAAAGACACTCTAAGCTATAAGAATCTTTTCTTACCCAACCATTGTGTTTACAGAAGGGATTACCTCTATATTGACTGGAAAGGTCTTGAAATCAGAATAATGTGTTTCACAATTTCTCTTAATGAACAGAAACTTTCTTTATATAGTCTTAGGTGTTCGTCAGTTTGATGGTATTCTACGTCACATTCTCTCTATTTGTATGTATCAGTGTACGGGGCGTGTAATGAAAGTATATTTCCCCTTTGGATCAGAATATCAGAACAGCCATAATACGCAAATCGAGTTTTGCGTACATTTAAATACATATATACATGTTTATATGTACATGCAGACCTTGGCAGTCTTCTGGGATAAATTCACATCACAGTGCGCTGCTTTACACATATTGCTAAGTGTTTTGAACCCCTAATCTAAAGAAGATATTGCAGCAATATCATTTACATGGTTGCTAGATTGCTGTCTAATTTCTTTATCAATGCTTGTTTTGTGCAATAGCAGAAATAGAAGAACATGGCCAGTAGGATTCTGATTACAGCGTGGCACCACAATCTTGCAGGATATCCCGGGAACCCCCAGGTGTGTGCACTTCCAGCCTGGAATGTAGCTTTACATGTAAAAGCTCTATGCACCCACCCTCACACAGGCGTCAAAGACAGCCTCCTCTGCAAACCACACCCCTGCTTTGCCCATCATAACTTGGATTGGTGACAGAGAAAGTGTCCTCTGTAAACCACACCCCTGATTTGCCCAACATAAGTTGGATTGATGACAGAGACAGCCTTCTCTGTAAACCACACCCCTGCTTCACCCATCATAATTTGGATTTGCGACAGAGAGAGCATCCTCTGTAAACCATACCCCTGCTTCACCATTCATAACTTGGATTGGTGACAGAGACATCCACTTCTGTAAACCACACCCCTGCTTCACCCATCATAACTTGGATTGGTGACAGAGACAGCCTCCTCTATAAACCACATCCCTGTCAAATGGAGGAATATCAGTTTTGGGTGGACTGACCATTTAAAACTGAAATCTACATACAAAACATCTGTAATAAAGCCAATAAGGCCAGCAAAACCACATTTTAGGAAATTCAAAGTCTTTGAAAAGAGATATTTTATAAAAGAGCACTATTGGTCCAATTGTATTATTATATAGTCAATAAAAAATAGGTTTTAAAATTCTTCTAGTCAAATTGCTTGAATAATATCTGTGTGTTATCATCCATCAAGACTCTGCACATCAGAGTTTACATTGGTAGCACATCTGTTTGTTACAGATGTGATCTGTGAGATCTACAGTATTTTCCAAAAAATTATGCAAGCTACCTCAACAATCCATTTATATTATATTTGGTGAGGTGGACCTTCGCACTACACAGCTGGTGGTACATTTTGTTAAAACTGCCAGATATAAATGTGTGGCCAGAATCAATATGCCTAATAAGATATAAGAGAACCGATCTGCCTGTTTGTACATGTTTTCTTGCCCCAGCACGCTCTGGGGAACAGTCAATCTTTCAGAGTGTTTTTTCCTGATTGTCAATATTTTCCTCCCAGATACCTGGCACTTGTAGCACTCCCCACCTTCCCCTCCACAGACATGCAAGTTCCTATGCAGCTCACAACAGCTAGGACTGACATTGCAATTGTTACTGGAGACAGGTGGGGTTATAACACAGTTAAAAAGTCTATTTTTAGGTTGCCAGGTTAGTAAACTGCCTTAATGTGGTATTGTGATGAAGCTTAAAACCACTATAATGGTTGTGTACAAGAGTGTTGTGACATTAAAGTAAAAAAAATGTTTCCCTCCCCCCAATGTTAATGTCAGCACTTACCCACCCAGCCCATCTGAGACTCCACACAGCCCACCTAAAACTTTGCCCAGCCCACCAGAGATCCCACCAAGCCACCTGAGAGTCCGCACAGCCCACCTGAGACTCCGCACAGCCCACCTAAAATTTTAAGTATGGGCATCTAAAGGTTCCTTCACATATCTTCAGCAGCTTTCATAGCTCTTTGTTGTGTCCAAATGCCAGGATTTTCTGAAAGGGCTAAGCTCCAATACTTCTGGGTACTGTATGGAGCAACACTCCCCATGTGAATGAGGCCTAATTGTTTTGTGCTAAAAGTTGTCCCTCCTCCCCATCTCAGGAAGTTGTTAGGTATAAAATAGCAAATATTTTAAAAATATTATTCCGCTAATAATTAGTTTGTACCACTTATTTTAGGTATAAATATGTAATAAGACATTTTATTAAGAACAATGTTTTACGGCAGTATGTGAGCAGTCTCCAAAGAAAGGGCACGCAAAAGTGTTTATGTTTAATAATAAAACATTTCTAATATATATTTATTCTAAAAAGTATGTGGAAATATGTGCCTGTGTCAATGCCATAAGAATGGGTCTACTATGGTGTAGAGGCAGTATTGACTTTATAATTGTGACAGGTTTTAACACTATGCATTTTACTTTACATGCAAGTCTGTATACAGAGGATCCCCGGTTAGTAGTTTTAATAGACTTCAATAGCTATTAAGTAACACATGAATTCTATAATACGTAGATGATTCTTAAATAGGATAATGCAGCTGAGCATGCCGTATGCTTTATATTACTGAATGTTATTTTAAATAGACAATGATTTTTTTTTTAAAGCTAATTCTTCCTTTACAACTTCTGTTGACCCTTTTTCAGAACACCTGTATATGCCTTTAGCATGTACTGTATTTTACTTTCAGTTTTTTCCCTCTTTTTCCGTTCCACTTTCTATTCTCTCTATAGCATGTCTGTATTTCCATAGTAAATAGCAGCAAACAGCACCACCTACAGACAATAGATATAATATATTACCATCTGGGCTAATCTTCAGTATGCCATATACTGTATAACCACCCAACATGCTCAAGAAAAATGTATGAATTAACTGTCTTTTGGAAAATACAATTTTGCAGATGATTCACTGTTGTTTTCTTTTTGTTCTAGATTAAACTTGTGAATATCAACTCAACGGACATTGTTGACGGGAAACCCACCATTGTGCTTGGTTTGATATGGACCATCATTCTATATTTCCAGGTAATTGTATTCTAGGTGTAGGAATAAGCAACATTTAGAGTATTGCATTTTCTTGAAATTAGGGGGAAAATTTGGAATTTGGCTACATGCTTAAGAATTAATGGGAAAGGTGGTTTCTGGTAATTTGCAATGGTGCAATGGGCATTAACCCTTCTGCTGCTGGACCCAGCCTCCCAATGGTTGACCTCAGTTGGTGGGACCATTTTTGCTATTTTTTACTTATTGCTGATAAAAGACCCCCAAACGAAATATCTAAAAAGCAAAGGGACTTTAGAATTAAAAGATGGTTCTGCTGATTTTGAACGCCCCATGATATCTGTGCAAAAGTTTATTGATCTATATTAAAAAAAAGAATAAAATCATTATTATTACACACAAACACAACATGACTTCCAAAATTCTTACTAAATCTAAAATATAAAACTGTATTAATTTAATCAATAACAAATATTTAAATGATGCCTTTTTGCGAAAGGATAAAAATAGAAGGATCGGCAATCGGCAGTGTGATGAGTTGCAGTGCAATTAAATGGCACCCCAACGAACCTTGTCATTGGATCTCAACACAGCGCACAATAGTACACAGATGGGAACTATCTGTGTACTATTGAAGGTTTATGTCTGATTTTACAGGCATTGTGCTGCTTTAGCACTCCATTCAAAAAGAATGCAACGCAATGCATGTTAACACACAAATCCGCTGTCAGGTCATTGATCTAGGTCAGACAGGCCACAGTTGGATCTCATTGCTGTCGCCAACAAGCTTCAGACACGGTTTAGTAGCCACAATAGAATTATCAAAATTGAGGGAGATGGCTCTCAGGAAATTTTGAGCCCTGGTTTAACTACATATTTCCATACAGATTAGTCTAATGTCTGGACAATCACACAATTCAGCATCCACACAGTCCTGATTAGAGTGTATGTAAAGCCAAAATATTTGTTTTCCCATCTTTGGTAAAGTAGGGGAGTGTTACATCCTCTGCCTTGTTATTACTTTCTGTGCCTCTGCTTGTTACATCATCTGCCTTGTTATTACTGTCTGTGCCTCTGCTTGTTACATCCTCTGCCATGTTACTACTGTCTGTGCCTCTGCTTGTTACATCCTCTGCCTTGTTATTACTGTCTGTGCCTCTGCTTGTTACATCTTCTGCCTTGTTATTACTGTCTGTACCTCTGCTTGTTACATCCTCTGCCAGGTTGTTATTACTGCCTATGTCTCTGCTCATTACATCCTCTGCCAGGTTATTATTACGGTCTGTGTCTGTTATTGCTGTCTGTGTCTCTGGTGGGGAATCTTTCCTCTCGCTTTGTCCTCCAGGACTGATAATAGAAAATCTAAAATTTTGAGTTGTCACCAGAACAGGAATAGAGAGGAAACTTTCCAAACTATCTGAGAGGGATTTCCCCTACTTTGGAGACATCTAATTTGTTTTCTTGTTGTGTCTTAAGAGAGATAGTCAAAAAAATTCTAGCCAATGTGACAAAAAGAAAAATAATCAGGGGTTTTACCATTCCTTACTCTACCCAAAACTCTACCCAAAAAGTTTTTCCTTTATGTAAAATGTATTGCTAAAGGCACGGTGTATGTTGCTTGCTTTGAAGCTCCCTTTGTCTTTTTAGAACCTCCCACTTTTCAGAAAATTAAACACTAGGCTAAGTGCTTATGGATTATGCTTTTTTATAGATTCAAGAATTGACCAGCAATCTTCCACAACTTCATTCACTGTCTAGTAGCACATCTTCAGTAGACAGTGTGGTGAGCTCTGAGACCGGCAGCCCCCCAACCAAACGCAAAGTGGTCAATAAAATCCAAGGAAGTGCCAAGAAAGCCCTTCTTAGATGGGTACAATACACTGCAGCCAAGTAAGTTTAATATGATATTTTTGTTAACGTTTACGGTGTTCTCTCGGGTATGCATTCTGTCTGGGTTTAAAAAAAACATATCTTATGTACTAGTTATAAAACATACCATAAAATGTAAGCAGAGGGATGATAAAAAATAAATGTTTTCATCCTCCTGAATATGTAAATAAGCAATGTTAGATTTCTGGTCCCTGCTCTGCACTAATTGGTTACTCCCACCAACCTGGACATCACTACTGTGTCCTTTAGTGACATAGGGTTTGACAGGAAGGACCACTGAGAACAACTGGGGGACCAGGATATCACACTCCTAAAAGTTTTGGTTTCTGAAGAGGTTTTGGACAGCATTGGTATTTGGTGACAAAATCACAGGTTAGCATTCACTTTTGTTTTTGCAGGAGCCAAATTTCTTAGCAGTCTTATTTTAGAAACCGAGTCACTTTGTCCATTCATGCTTCTATATAACTCATTTCTAAATTGATGGATTTTTTTCTCTTATCCATGTACTACTAATGTGCATTTTTACAGTCCTTGGCATAACAAGTACATTTCTCAAATGTACTTGTTATGTTTTCTGTTTTTTAACTGCCCTTGAATATATTTAAACATGTTATTTAGGTCACCTGTAAGAGATCTTATCTCCAAAATGAATATGGAATGCCATGTATCCATGCCAGGGTCACTTGTATAAGAAATGGAACATGTGAAAAGAAAAGGATATATACTGTTGGTATTCATTTCTGTTGGTCTGTGATGAAAGGATCACTTTAAAGTATATTTCCATTTTGCAGTCAAATTTGAGAACAAAACTCTATATGTGCGTTATGTGTTTCTTTTCACACAGCATACCTAAAAATATATTTTCTTTATATTTCCTACCTTTTATATGGTTCTTTGGTGAAGGCATTTGTGTAGATTCCAGGCTATTCTCCGTAACGTACAATGCTTCTAACAGGATTATTCACAAAAGGGTGAAGAGTTTGGAGAAGGCAGGAGAAGTGAACAATCTAGGCCAACATAGCTAAACTGGAAAGTGAGCTGAATTGGAGAATTTTTCCAAATCAGCTTTCTTGTCCTAGATTGTTTACTTCTCCTGCCGTCTCCAAACTCTTCACCCTTTTGTAAATAACCCTGTTAGTCTTTCACTCCTTTGTTAGGACAGACAGTGTTCAAATCTACTTCAAAACTGATAATGAGATCTGCCAGCACAGTACAGACAGGTTTTATTGGAGTAAACATAACTTCCCATAATACAATGCAATGTGAATGGGAACATGCAACAAATATAAATTGGAAATACACTTTACCCATGCAGAAAACTACAGCTCACTGCATGCGTCAATGGCCAATGGTCAATGCATCAATGGCCAAAGCTACATGTAGGATTCAGGAGCAGGAAGCTTAGCGATGTTTAGTTTGCTAAGACTGATTTAAGGAAATATGCTGTGCATTTGTAACGGCTGATAGATGGCTTATTAGCGTATTCTTGTGTTTTTTTATGCTTTGGGAATAGAAAGGTTCACTTTAATACGTTCTAAAATAAATATAAAGAGATGTTACTAGATACGGACTGCTTGAATGAAAGTATTCATTTTGTTTTCCTTCAAAAAATGAAAGACGCCTTGGAATAGAAATAAAAGATTTTGGACCAAGTTGGAGAAATGGCATTGCCTTCCATTCAATGATTTATGCAATTCGTCCAGAACTGGTGGACTTGGACAAACTAAAAGGAAGAAGTAATCGGGAAAATCTGGAAGAAGCTTTTTCAATTGCAGAAAATGAGTTGGGAATACCAAGACTTTTAGATCCTGAAGGTATTTTTATATTTTTGTAGAATCAAGAATAACAAATGGAACCAGATAATTTAACTTAAGCTTAAGTCTCAAAAACATATGGTATTAAATGTATAATATACAGTGACATTGTCAGACTGAATAAATAGGTATATTTGCATGTTTTCCCCTTAGATGTAGATGTTGATAAGCCTGATGAAAAGTCCATCATGACCTACATCGCTCAATTCCTCAAACATTATCCTGATCTTCACAGCACAGCAGGAGGCCAGCAAGATGATGTAAGTACCAGGAACTTATTGTTAATATCTAGTTATATAGATATAAGTGATTCTGCGCTGGACCTAGAAAAATGTATAAGTGCTAGTGTGCCAATTTAGTTTGAAGGCTGCAGCAAAATCGACCGTGGGGTCAAACCAGATAACTTTCAAATTATGCAGCGCCCCCAACATATAATGTGTTGAATGTCATAAATCCTAAATTTAATTAAATATAAATATAAAATAATTCTAATAAATAAATATAATATATATAAGTGATTCAGATAAATAAATTATATTTATATAACATACACATGAATGTTCAGTGCCTTCAAAATCTTTTTTTATAAGAAAAAGTCATCAATGGCCCTGGATCATTGATCCCACAGGGTATGTGAAATAATTAGTGACAACCACCATAAATTGTTAGTTGATGTGATGTGTCAAAATCAAAGAAAACTGTTCAAAAAATATTCCAGAAAAGACAAATGTTCAAAATTATATATATTATATTTATTTATTAGAATAATTTTATATTTATATTTAATTAAATTTAGGATTTATGACATTCAACACATTATATGTTGGGGGCGCTGCATAATTTAAAATATCTAGTTATAGCATTGCTAATTGATTTAGCAATTATGTACGTAACACCATATTTAAATATCTTTTTTTAGCTGTATAAAAATTGTGAAACAGAAATAGTTTTACTTTAATTCTTATACTGCCACCAACACAAGGCTTACGGCTGAGCAGAACCACTTGACTAGTGACCATGAATTGTAACAGAAAGTTTCCCTAGACTCTTCTCCCTAATGAATAACTGTGATCAACTCCACCCATGAAGTTAAGCCCACTCACCCATCATTTCCTATACAGTGAAAAGTGTCAAAGTGTCTAACTGGGTGGGCTGAGTTTTGGGAGTAAAGCTTAGGGGGGTTATTCACATAGCTGCCAAAGGGGATGCTGAACTGTCATTGCAACTGGCCGGAGCCAGCCGTGAGATCACGTCTGGCTCCGCCCAGCTGTTAGACACAAGGCTTTCGGCCAGCCAATGGAGGCTTTCCCTGCTGTGTAACCTGCTAGAAGCCGATCTGAATGGAGAAAAAGCTGTCAGCTTCACACTTGAAGCTGAGCCGCTCGGCCAGCTTCGGGAGCTGTTCGGGCTATAGTGAATAGCACGTATAGCAGCCCTTCGGTTCTTCTGAACTGAAGGGCTCGGGCAGCCTAAGCTAGCCGGAGGATCATCCGGAGCTACGGCTAATCCTTCGGCTAGCTTTGTGAATAACCCTCTTAGGGGTCTATTCACAAAGCTGCCGAGGGCAGCCGAGTGAATGACCGATCAGAAGTGAAGTGAGCCGAACACTGTTCGGCTATTCACTTCAGGCTGGTACGGCTGATTTCAGCCGTATATCGGCTTGCTTCGTGTGGCTTCGGATCAGCCGAACATGCTCAGCATGTTCGGCTGATCCGAAGTGCAGAAGGAGTTCGACTCAGCCGATCCAACATCTGGATCGGCTGAGCCGAACCTCCGGAGTTGGTGAAACTGAGGCTTTAGTAACAAAGTAAAACTAGGAATAGAGGGACACACAGAAGATGGTTCTCTGACTAATAAATGTAACAGCTGGGCTTTTGCTTTAGACATGGTTTATATTCGCTTTAACAGAATTTGACCACTACAGTCCATCCATGTCTAGCTAGTTCTGACCAACATACAGCTAAAATTCCAGTCATTTTGTTTTGCCTTTATATAATAGTGTAGTACGAATAGCAATTATGTGTAGTGACTTGCACTAAAAAAACTAATTTCAGAATGATGAACAATTATTTTTATTTAGCAATGTGTTACTGCATTATGTACAGTACTCCCTGTTTTTTTAAAGTATTAAACTATAGCCATTGGATAGTGTGGATTCCCCCACCACCCTCGGGGAAAATGTGCCTGTCTGTTTGTCCCTGAGACCATTGTCACTAGTAGAGAAAGTGATAGGGAATCCAAAAATGTACAGACTTACAGCTTACTCACTGAAATAGGTGGTGAAGGGAAATCTTCCAATGGGGATGTTATTTCACTTTGGAATGCTCTCCACTCACTTTCTTGTGTCTTTGGGAAGTAAACATTTTCCTAGTAAGTAACACAAACAGCAAAAAGTAAAAAAAGTAAAACGTGACAGATGTTCTAAGCCTTCTCCACTCCAATCATAGTTAAATTAAAATGTTTTGGCTAGAGATAGTCTTTAAATATAAGTACATACATATTACGTAATTTACTGAGTGATCTTGTTGAAATTGCAATAAGTGTTACTATGGATTACAGTTTAAAGAAAATCTTAAAATGCAGCTACTGTGGTACCAAATATAACCAAGAGGTGGCAGTTCCAAACTGATCATTCTGGGTGAACACAAATATTAAAGAAACTGTTTTGGGCAGTCAGTGTTTTATGAATTACGTACAATGTATGCTGTGAATACATAAGGATTTTTCATCTAGGTTTGTAAAAGCATGGTTTATGAGAAATTGGAATCCCAGAGATATTGTTAATCCTCATTCCCTTGTCAAATGTATTGGTATAGTGTATAAGACATTGCTTACGTATGTCTCAGAGAAATTGTTGTAGTGGAATAGCTAAGAAATTGTTATAGTCTCTTAAAAATTGGGTGGTATAATCTGTGGGGAATTGGCAAAGAGCAGTTTCTGCAAAATTAACTTGTACCCACTGAGTGTTTGTTGTACTAGTCCCTTGCTCTGGAACAGTGTTGCTGGGTTAGCAGATATACAGTCTGATTTAAGTTTTCTGTGAAACCCTACAGCAATTGAGGTCCTTATGTTAACACTTTGTGTATGTGAGTAATACTCCCCCACTGTTAATTTTTTTGATAAAATCTTTTTATATTTAATATTTTTAATTATTTTATATAATGAAGAATGTCACAGCAGGTGGTGAAACATGTAAAGGTGGGCAGAAACATAGAACTGCTAGGTGGACAGGAACAGTTGCGAGTGATTGTTGCAGGTAGATAACATTTCTGGAATATCCAAGACATATAAAAACCCATAGGGTAACTCAGCCCACAAGGCTCTACCTAAAGCTAAAATATCACTTTAGAATGAGCTGATCCGTTGAAATATGATACAGCATAAATACTGTATATGACAGTTTGTTTACAAAGCATGGTAGACTTGCTTAGGCTGGGTTCACACCGGGGCGTTTTTCAGCGCTGATCGAAGCGCTGAAAAATGCTCAAGCAGTGAAATCCCATAATTTCCTTTGGGCATGGTTCCCACCTGGGCGTATTAAAACGCGCTGAAAAACGCCCTACGCACGAACAAGTACAAAAGCTTCTTTTGGGGCGTATTTCTGCGCGTATCCATTGATATTCCCGAGTGTGGCTCTCTATTGTACCACTCTATTGTAAACGCGCTGAAATACGCCCAGGTGGGAACCATGCCCATAGGAAATTATGGGATTTCACTCCTTGAGCGTTTTTCAGCGCTTCGATCAGTGATGAAAAACGCTCAAGCAGTGCAATCCCATAATTTCCTATGGGCATGGTTCCCACCTGGGCGTATTTCAGCGCGTTTTGACGCGCTGAAAAACGCCCTAGGCCGAACTAGTACAAGGGCATATTTCAGCACGTATCCATTGGTATTCCTGAGTGTGGCTCGGGGTTAACAAAGCTGTAACCCCGAGCCACACTCGGGAATACAGCGTAGGTCTTACGCTGTCCGCTATCCCCGCTGTGTCCTCCGGCCGCTGCCAGCTTCTGGGTTCCGTCCCTTGCGAGTGTCCGCGTCGCAGGGGGGCCGAACCGGCGGGAAGTTTGAAAGTTAAAAAAAAATAAAACCCGAAAAAAAGATAGAGAAAAAAAAAATCATACCGCCATGGAGGTATAAAAACGAGCGTCGAACGCGTGTTTCACTGAACAAAAAAACGCGATAAAAACGAGCTGAAAAAACGCACAGAAAACGCGCCTATATTAACGCCCAGGTGTGAACCTAGCCTTACTGCTCACTTATTGACTGCCTCTGCATAATTTAAAATCCATATGGCTAAGTATGCGCTAGAAAGGGGGATGGGCTGCCGAGTGAACAACCGACCCCAAGTGAAGTGAGCCAAACACTGTTCGGCTATTCACTTCAGGCTTGTACGGCTTGCTTCGCATGGCTTCGGGTCGGCCGAACATGCTCAGCATGTTCGGCTGACCCGAAGTGCAGAAGGAGTTCAACTCAGCCGATCCAACATCTGGATCGGCTGAGCTGAACATCCAGCAGGCTACTCACTGCTGTTCGGCCTATTCTTATAGATGTCGAACAGCAGTGAGTGAATAGCCGAATGCCGCTGAGCGGCATTACAAATTGAAATAGCCAATAGGAATCTAGCAATGCATTCCAATGGGCAAATTTTTTTTCTATTCTGACACAGCTCCGTGTCAGAATAAAAAAAAAAAAGACACAGCAGTGTTTCTCTCCTTGGCGGCCGGGAGCAGGAGACTCCCGGAGCGCCAGGGAGAGTTTGCTGTTTGGAGATCAGTGTCCCTGGTTAGCAGGTAACCAGGGACTCTGATCTCTCTGCAAGTGGCCAGAGCCAGCCATAAGATCATGGATGCATATGCGTTCGGCTCGACTGAGCCGCTCGGCAACGTTCTTGAGCTGTACGGGCTATAGTGAATAGCCTGTAGAGCACCCCTTCGGTTCTACTGAACCGAAGGGGTCCTGAGGCCGAAGCTAGCCGAAGGATCGGCCGAAGCTACGGCTAGATTCGTCGTCAGCTTAGTGAATAGACCCCATAGTAACAAATCACCTTGGTTAAACACTGGAGAGTATCCCGAGGATACCACCTGCTGGCTGCAAATGGTAAATGTACAGTATGCATTATTAAAGGAGAACTATGAGGTGAGTGATTTACACTCATCCTCATAGTTAGAGCCGAAGTGTGACATTGAAACTATCACACGTTGACTCTATAGATCGGGAAGTGAGCAAACACATACCATTGCTCGCTCACTTCCCGATTATC